GCCTGCGGCATTTGAGAACTCTAGCAACTTATTCATCAAGCTAATGCTGCCATCTTGCCAATGAGTGGCTCTGTTTACGATGAGGAAAGTGGACTTATGTTTGGCAACTTGGTCGATGGCGATCGCTGGTGTAAGCCATTTGAGGACCTTCTGAACATTGGTGTCAAACCCATTATTCCATGTCTCTCCTTCGCAGCACTATTTTATTCCCCCTACCAGCACGCGCAGTGTTCTGTGACCAGCCTTCCCTGAAGGAGACCATCAAAGTACTTGCTTGAAACAAAAGCTCATTCAGGGTTTTGCACTGGAAATTTCAAACGGTATTTACTTAAACATTATCTATTTATATCGTTTTGCAGTACCCTCTTATCCATAGTCTTTGTATTTCCTGCGGGTTATATCACACTTATTGTCAAAATTGCCCTTAAATTCGACTCAGTGGTCAAGCCAAGTAGAGAGCATATTATGCATATTTTGCTTCATGAGTCTCATAGAGGTATTACTGCTAGTACAACAACAAATTTCATCCAAAAGACTCATGACGTTGACGATTTGACTGAAACAGAAGCGTGTAGAAAGTGGTTTTTCTGCTTCAGAACTGGGAAATTTGGCCCGCAGGAGTGGCCAAAGACGAAACGACCAAAAGGGCTCAGTCCAGAGAAACAGGCTGATCTTCTTCGTTTAGTGCCTTCATTACGACTAGAGAACTTAGCGAACAGTTGAATGATAGCCATTCGAATGTCTTGCGAAAGTTGAAAAGGACTGGAATGTGTCACTGTCTGGAAAGCGAGATCTTGAAAACCTGTCTGACGAGAACGGCCAACAGCGTGTAAGTTATTGCGAGTCTTTGATTACGCGACATCTCCAAGGTCCACTTTCGAACAGGGTTGTTATTGATGGCAGAAAATGTATCCGTCAGCAGAACGATAAGCATCGTTGTCGTTGTCGTCGTCGTCGTCGTCGTCGTCGTCGTCGTCGTCGTCGTCGTCGTCGTCGTCATCGTCGTCGTCGTCGTCGTCGTCGTCGTCGTCGTCGTCGTCGTCAGTGCATCAGTCGTGAGGACCAACCAGCCCGTGAACCAAGGGGAGACCTTCATCCGAAATGATACTCCTGAGTGTGTGGTTGAACATCTAGGTAGTGGTCCACTATGACCTGTTGGATTCCCATTTAGACAACCAACGCTGATGTGTATTGCCAGAATCTGAGCTCGTCTTTGCGCAAATGAGGGCGATAATTCTCCATTATGTGAATGCCCGTCCCTCCATCCCTCTCTCCACCACTGCAATAATCACTAACGATGTACGAGAATAAGTCAACTAAGGAATATACTGCTCCCACCTTATTATTTTGAGCATGCTCTTTGGATTATGATTTATTCGGAAATTTAGGAAACCATTTTATTGGACTAAGCTTAACATCGAGGAAGGAGTTTGAACATATGTTGGCTTTTCTTTGCTCACCAAACCCTGGGCTGTTTTGAAAACAAGGCAATGACAAGCTAGCCGGATGTTGGTACAATACTAAAACAAAATGCCGGAAGGGCGCTTTTTAGTCAGTGCATGCCTACGGGTGGTAATTTTTAATTTTCAGTGTTCATAATAAAAGCCAAGGTAACTTTAGTTCCGACATAACGATACTAATAACAGGTGTCCGAAGATGGCGACATCCCGGCTAATCTACCAGTCCTATGTCGACATCCTTGCTCTATGAGCTAATTGGGCAAGCGTGGGTAGGTGAAATCTTTCCTTATCGCTGGAACTTGGTCGCGGATGTGCCCATCTTCAAAAATGGAAATAAGACAAATTGCGAGAATTACAGCGGCGTATGTCTTAATAATATTGATGCGCAGGTCCTTGAAATCGTCATTCTCAGACGGCTTCCAATAGTGGTTGACTGTAGGTCGAGAACTAACTCAGTCCGCTTCTCGACTTGATGTCTTTGCATCGGCCAGACATCTACACTGCAGCGCATGCTTGGCTGCCAGCGAACGACGGTTCCCCGCTTTGATGACTTCGCCGCAGCGTTTTATTTTGTTCATCATGATTACCCCTGGTAGGTAGTGGAACCAAACGGTATAGCGATAAAAATCATCGCTGTGATCAGGGCCTGCTATCGCTCCATCATTGCGCCTGTTTCGGTCAGTAACAGTCTTTTCCAGTCGTTCACTATTAAGTCTGATGTGCAAAATTTTGCATTCCATCGCCTGTCCTATGTAACTATGATATTAACTGGATTTCGGGGAGGGATATAAGCAGTTTCGACGATGTTGAATATGCACTCAGGTGTCGTCTGACTGATCTCAACTACGCTGACGTTATGGCCCTGCTGCCGCCAAGCTCTGGTAGCTGGGGTGGCTAAATCAGTCTGCTGATACATAAACACCGGGAAGACCACTGTATTTTCAAGTTGCATCCCTGATCAGGAGAAGCCATTTCGCGGGATCAGTGGATGTCAGCTTGAAGAATTGGACAATTTAAATACCTAGGAGCGAGGCCACTGCCCAGTGGACATTGTGAGAATGGCATCGTCTCCGGAATTGGTGCTGCTCGCGTTGTCTTTACTATCCGTATAAAGTGTTTATGGGCCCACACGATATCCCCATCACCAGAAAGAGGTGCATATTTCTAACATCGTTCCGATCAATTTTCTTATGCGGATGTGAATCTTGAGTTGCGCGTGTGAAGTATGAATGAAAGCCGGAGGTGTTTGACCACCGTGGCTGGAGGACCATTCTTCTAGTGAAGCGCAAACAATTCGTCCCAAATGAGACAGTCCGTCTCCGCTGCAACAACATCGAAATGATATCTCCGAACATCCACGAAGACGACTGTTGTGGTTTGAACGCATCCTGCGCCATCTTCCAACCCATGAGTTCAGAGTTGCTGCCTTTAATCCGGCACTGTTGCCCACCTGGAATCGTCGGACTGGAGGTGAACTCGAAATATGATTCGGTACAGTTCGCCAGGACGTGGAGGCGGTTTTTGGAGCTTCTGTATTTGGTCTCTGTCACTGAGCTATCAGGATCCATTGCCGCAGATCGCCACGCGTGTATAGGTACAATTCGCGGCATCCTCGAGGCCGGCTTGATCAGGCATGACTGTAGCCGCGTCGAGGTAATATTTAGGAGGCAACGGTCCTAGTTGACCTGCCCTGGGTCTATGAAACTTGACCTCCACACACTATTGCGTTGGGGATCATCAAAATGTGACGGTCTACGTCGAATAATACGATGTTTTGGCCTTGCAAATTAAGTCTCAAATGAGCTACCTTGATATCGATCGGGGGTGCCGTCAGTTGTTGCTACAACGACTTGCCTTTATGAAAGTTTTATTAAGCTCTCCGACCCCCTGCCCGAATGGGGGCATAGTTGCAGTAATTGTCAACTGGATAGTTGGATGAGTGTGATAACGCTAGATCTAAAAAAAGGTGTTGGATAAACGGTTTGTGATTTCCGGTAGTGGGACATCAAATTAGCAAAGATCGCTGAGTGTCTAGCTAACGCGCACAAGGCATAGACTGCACAGAATTTTTGCTCAGTTAATACAACGCCAAACGTATCCATGTACCTCTTGGGTACATCTGTCAGCGGCCTCCCTCGTATACGATCTTCTTGACTCTGTCTTGACACCGGACTCAGGCGGGGGAGGAGGAGAGAGTGTAGGTAGATGCAGCGCAAGTCTAATGGCACTATAAACCCCTGCGCAAGTCACCGTCCCTACTCCTACCGCTGCTGCAGCTGTGGAGCACACGGTGGACATCGTCGAAATCGACGGTCGAACTGTCGGGTACATCTGTCTACTTTCTTCACTTCTTTGCATGCCACTGTATGTCTACCAAGTACCTCCTTGTACAGTTTTGTTTTTACCGCTCTGGCTGCAGCCTTGTCGTCCCGATGCTCTTCTATGGAAATGGAGAGATTTTGCGGTCAACTCTGTTGCTACTTCCCCTCGTAATTTGAGAAGAGGAAAATTGGTGTCGTAATATTTGACTCAGTGAGTTTTGTAGGACCTGGATTCGCAGGTGGCACTGGCATCGTATCAGGAGCTAGCATCGCTTGTGTTGGCATAGTGGCTGGCCTCTGAGCCGTTTTCCGCAAACTACCGACCACTTCCATTCTTGCAGTCAGCATGCTCATTGTGGCAGGGGAGGCTATAGGCAACACACTAGTGTTGCGCTTTTGCTTCTACACTAGGAGCACAAGGGCAATTTTGCAAGCAGATGCCATATTTTTCTCCGGCACGCTGTTTACATAGGAGCGAATGCTTTGCCTACGCGACCAGGCAGACGGACGTTCGCCTGGAGCCAGCTGGCGGAGGCCAAACTATCGATCAGCATCAAGGCCATTGTGTTCGTCCTTCTCGCCTTCCGGCGGCCTCTGAAGCAAAGTTCGGCCCCGTTTTGTCAGCGTCGTCAGCGTTCACACCTCATGGCGTGTCCCGCGCTCGAGAAATCTCATGAATGAGTGATTAGCATGGCGTAGAGGTGAGCATGATCCATGCAGACTACTTAACTGAAATTGCGGTAAGCAGAACGCCCCATTGTCCGTCTAGATGGTGGTTATCTTCTCAGACTTGGCTTAATTAGCGGAAAAGGAGTATGAATGAGCAAAATTAATTTGGACACCAATGCGAGTGCACAAATTAACCTTTTCTATCTTTCAATATTTGTCCTGAGTAAATGGCTTGTCTGATTGACAGGAATCTATTGTATGCCATATTTGTGGGGGGTAGGGGTGTCCGGTTTTGGATCCCCGTGATCGTCCTAGTAGGTCGCTCACTTGCCTACAGGTGTAGAATAAGTCTAGCGTCAACCATCTGGCACCCAACTCTCACCTGTGACCACTCAAAACTAGGCTCTGCCTAGCGGCAACACCCCGGCAACAGTCTCGATCGCCGGCCTAAGTCACGTGAGGGTATCCGCGCGTACATCTCCGCACACGGTAATTCGGCTCCGCTCCCATCATCGATAGCCGAATGGATCACGACTTCTGCTTTCCTAAGATGAGACTCCGTCTGCAACCCCGCAGGAGGCCACAAGCACTCAGCAAGTTATTGACCCAGTGGCTGGAAGACCGTCCCCTTCTCTCTCTCTCACCTATTCCCCGCTCTTCTCCCCACTACACCACACTCTCTCTACCCTCTGCTCTTCTCTCTTGCTCCACGGCCGAAAGTCCCACGGATCGCCGCATGGTCACCTCCAAGATGAAGCCTCGTGTGCAACCCTGCAGGATGACACCTGGTAAGTAACTCCCCCCCGCAGGTAAGCGAAAATTGACTATTGCCTTTGCTTCTTGTTTGCTCTTGCTTGCCTGCTTTTTTGTCTGCTTGCTTGTGTTTTTCCTTGTTGTAAGCTAAATGCCGTTCTGTTGGATATGTCTGTTCACCGCTTATATATTTCAACAACCAGTTGGCCTAGAGAGGAGCGGAAAACCCTGCTTCCCGTTCCTTTAATCTTCCCCCCCCCCCCTCCACTCAAAAGTCCTATACGGAGAGCGACAGCGACCAGGTAGGCGGCCCAGGCCAGCTCGGGTCGTTCTTCCACTAAACAAAAGTCGTGGCCCATAGCGGAGTGCCTCAGCCGTTTGGGATAACCGAGCAGCCCTATTTAGGGACAGCACCACTGCTCACTCCCGCGAGGGGGAAGGGGCTAGAAAAGGTGCCCTAAACAAATACTGGGGATCCACGCCCTCTATGCGCTGACCGTGGCCCGCAGGCGCAAAACGCACGGTCGAAACAATCAAATCCAAAACAACGCTCTCTCTTCCCCTTCCTCCTCTCCACCGCCCCACTAGCCAGACTAGCAGGGGGAGTCCGCTCACTCTGGCAGACTGGAATGCTCGTTCCATTTAAGACAATCCGAGCAGCAACCGATCGCGACGGAGGACGGCGCCAGGGACTGGGGAACTGGCGCGCTACAAGGTGGACATCGCTGTACTCAGTGAGACCCGCTTCTCTGAATAAGGCCAACTGGAAGAGGTGGGTGTCGGCTACGCCTTTTTCTGGAGTGGTCGACCCAAGGCAGAGCGACGGGACGCGGGTGTCGCCTTTGTCATCCGGAATGACATCGTGAGACGACTGTCGCAGGGCATCAACGATCGTCTGATGGGCCTCCGATTGCCCCTGGCCACCATCGTTAGCGTCTACGCTCCACTGATGACCAGCCCTGACGAGGCGAGGAACACATACTATGGGGACCTACACGCCCTCCTGACAACTGTGCCGAAGGCGGATAAGCTGACTGTCCTTGGTGACTTCAACGCCAGCGTCGGCACAGACCATGCGGTCTGGAGAGGAGTGCTCGGCCCCATAGTCTCGATGGCTCCTCCTATGAACCTGCGCAGAACACCGGCTCATCATAACCAACGTCTTCTTCTGCCACCCGATGCGAGAGAAGGCCATCTGGATGCATCCTCCGTCACGTCATTGGCACCTACTGGACTATGTCCTCGTCCGGAGGCGAGACCAACGGGACGTGCTAGTGACAAGAGCGATTCCAGGTGCCGACGTGTGGACCGACCATCGCCTTGTCATCTCGAAGATGCGTATTCGCCTACAGCCTCGAAGGTGACTTCAAGGTAAGCGAACCCCAGGTAAGCCGAATATTGTTTTGTTTTCTTTGCCTGTTCACCATCCCCATTTCAGCAACGAACTAGCTCAACGGGTAGACAACCCTCCGGTCGCTGCCGCCAACGAGGAGAACGCCTCCTTTGGGAACCGATGATGTCAACTGCGGGACACCGTCCAGTCGACGGCCCTGGCTGTCCTCGGTCACGCAGGACGCCAACATCAGGGCTGATTCGATGACAACGACGCCGCCATCAGCAACCTGCTCGTCGAGAAGAACCGCCTTCACAAAGCCTACGTCACCCGCCCCACCGACGACGGCAGAGCAGCCTTCTATCGCAGTCGCCGTCTTGTGCAACAGCGGATACGGGAGATTCAGAATGATTGGACGGCTCGCAAGGCCAAGGAGATCCAAGGTCACGCGGATCGCAACAAATGGAAGAATTTCTTCTCCGAGATCAAGGCTGTATATGGTCCGCCAACCAAAGTAACTGCACCTCTTCTCAGCGCTGACCTCATTGAGAAGACACAACTTTTACAGCGATGGGCCCAGCACTTCAGAGGCGTCCTCAACCGTCCGTCCATCATCTCCGGCGCCGCCGTCGCCCGTCTGCCTCAAGTGGAGACCAACTCCGACCTCGACATCCAACGCTCTCTCCAGGAAACCATCAGGACCACGCAGCAGTTCCTCGGTGGAAAGCGCCCGCATCGGACGATATCCCTGCTGAGATCTGCAAACACGGTGGCCCCAACTCATGGATCATCTGACGGTGCTCTTCCAGAAGATGTGGTGTCAAGGAGAAGTTTCTCAGGATTTCAAAGACATCACAATCGTGCATCTCTGTAGTGAGGTACCTGACTAATTTACCTTTGACAATTTAGTCCCATTTCCTTTGACCGCATTGCTTGTTTGAATGTGACGAGAAACGACACACCTGTACAACCCGCCTTGCTAGCGTGCTCTGCTGTGGTATTCTGTTGTCAGTTTTTCTTAACGTTCAAAAATCTCTATATTATTCACTGCTCCGATTTACTTGCTGCATTTAAGGCTAGGGGCTCGTGAGATATAACTCGTTAGTTCGTGAGAACATTACGATTTACGACATTGGTGACTCCCGACGTTTACGCAGACTTTATAGCTTTCTGTCATACTGGATAACATTTAACGTACTATTTGCTTGTGAATATCTATTCCATTTACATTTACTTTCCTCACGAATTCTGATATTTTGACATCTCTGTCTTATTATGTCTCACTCCGATCAACAACTTGATGCCCCCGCCCAGTCCCTTCATGCAATCAATTTTACTTTGCCTGAATTCTGGCAACACGCTCCAGAACTTTACTTCATCCGCATAGAATCAGCCTTTTATTCTGCCAACGTTACCAAGGAGCTAGCAAAATACCACAAACTCGTGGAGGTCCTCCCCGCTAGTGTCATCTCTCAAGTTCAGTCCTTGCTAGCTAATCCTCCTGCAGATGCTCCCTACTCTGCGTTAAAGGCAGAAATCCTCCGACTTAATTCTGTGTCTGACCGACAGAGGTATCACCAGTTAATTAAGGAGGAGTCACTGGGTGACCGGAAGCCCTCAGAGCTTCTACGTCGGATGCGTTGTCTCCTTGGATACATGCAAGTTGATGATAAATTTGTCAAGGAGATGTTCCTGGAGCGCCTGCCCACAGATGTTCAAACGATCCTGGCGTCCGGCTCTCAGGATCTCACAGTGTCACAGCTGGCTGAGATGGCGGATCGAATGATAGAGGTGCAACGATTCCAGTCACCTTCCGTTGCCCAGATCTCATCCTCATCGTCAGTGAATGAGCATTTACTAAAACAGGTGTCGGCCATGGCAGATAAGATGACCTCTCTTAAAATACAGCTCGCCCGCCTAACTTCCAGTCGCTCACGCAGTCGTCGTCGTTCTCGTTCGCGACCTCGGACTGCTGATACTTGCTGGTACCACACTAATTTCGGTGTAAAGGCCCGTCGCTGTTCCTCACCTTGCTCTTTTAAGCCAAAACAGGGAAACCAGTCAGCCAGAGAATAGATGCGACCGTTTTCTCTGGCTCCTCCGGCTCTGGTCGCACCTTCTATGTTTGCGACACTGCGACTCGCAGACGTTTTCTGGTGGACACTGGAGCTCAAATCAGTGTTGTGCCCCCAACTGCAGTTGATCGTCGTTTCCCTAGTCCTGGTCTTCATCTTCAAGCTGCTAACTGTTCCCCAATTCCCACTTTTGGCAGTCTGTCCCTCACCCTGAACATTGGCCTTCGTCGGTCATTTACTTGGATCTTTGTGATTGCTGATGTCCCTCATGCAATCCTCGGCTCGGACTTCCTTGCCGAGTTCGATCTCCTTGTTGACTGTCGACGTGCCCGTCTCCTCGACCGCACAACCGGTCTGTTCGTCCGTGGACTAACTCCATTTACTGCCCCCACCAACTTATCTGTCCTGGATACAGATATTGCTAGTCCTTTTCGGCAACTGCTGCTTAGTCACCCCAACATAATTAACGCCCAGTTTCGCAGTGGTGAAGTTCAACATGATGTTGTGCACCATATCCGCACCTCAGGTCCTCCCGTGTTTGCTCGACCGAGACGACTAGCACCGGAGCGTTTTCAGGCCGCGAAGTCGGAGTTTGAACACATGCTGCAACTGGGAATAATTCGACCGTCCGAGAGCCCTTGGGCGTCCCCACTGCACATGGTGCCCAAGGCAACATCAGGCGACTGGCGGCCCTGTGGTGACTATCGCGCCCTCAACAATGCGACCATCCCGGATTGTTATCCCGTCCCTCATCTTCAAGATTTTGCTGGAGCTCTTTTCGGCAAATCGGTTTTCTCGAAGATTGACCTTGTTCGGGCCTTCCATCAGATTCCTGTCGCTCCTGAGGATGTTCCCAAAACTGCCGTCACCACACCATTCGGCCTGTTCGAATTTATTCGCATGCAATTTGGTCTTCGCAACGCTGCCCAAACATTTCAGAGGTTCATTGATCGAGTCCTACGTGGTCTCCCGTTTGTGTACGCCTACATCGATGACCTCTTGGTGGCCAGTCGAAATGCCGAGGAACACAAAGAGCATCTTGCCTTAGTGTTTGACCGCCTCGATCAGTTTGGCGTGGTCATTAACCCTTCCAAGTGTGTTCTGGGTGTGCCGTCCCTTGATTTTCTTGGTCATCATATCGACGCACAAGGTTTGCGTCCCCTCTCTTCCAAGGTTGAGGCCATTCGTGACTTTCCTCCAACAACCTCCAAGCGTCAGCTGCAACGTTTCCTTGGCATGGTAAACTTTAATCGCCGGTTCCTACCGAACTGTGCCGACCTTATGTTGCCACTCACCAACTTGCTCTCTGGTCCCAAGGGTCCCCTTGAGTTACGTGGCCACGTGCTGACTGCATTTGAGAGAATAAAGACCTCCCTTGCTGATGCTACCTTGCTCACTCATCCTGCTCCAGAAGTCCCATTGTCCCTGATGGTTGATGCTTCGACCGTTGCCGTAGGAGCAGTCCTCCAACAGCATATCAACAACTCGACACGACCGTTGGCATTCTTCTCCAAGAAGCTTTCACCTGCCGAGACGAGATATAGCACGTTTGGCCGTGAACTTCTTGCCATTTACCTAGCCATAAAACATTTCCGACACTTCATTGAGGGTCGTGACTTCACCATTTTCACAGACCACAAACCACTTACATTTGCCATCCGATCCCATTCTGACAAATATAGCCCGAGAGAGATTTCTCATTTGGATTACATCTCGCAATTCACCACCGACATCCGCCACATTGATGGCCCGAAGAATGAGGTGGCTGATATGCTGTCCAGACCCTCACTGTCTTCCCTCCAACTCTCACACGGGATCGATCTTTGTGCCATGGCGGCTGAGCAGCAGCGAGTCGGTTGTCCTGGCGACGAGTCTGTTAGTGGTCTCCAACTCAAAGACGTTCCTCTGACCACCGGCTCTGGTACCATACTTTGTGACCTCTCAACTCCCTTTCATCGCCCTTTTGTGCCCGCCTCGATGCGTCGAGCTGTATTTCAAACTATGCATGGACTCTCCCACCCTGGGATCCGAGCCTCTCAAAAGCTCCTCGCGGAAAGGTTTGTCTGGCCTGGCATGAACAAGGACGTCAAAGCTTGGGCCCGGTCGTGTCTGAGCTGCCAGCGCAACAAGGTGTAGCGTCACAACAAGTCCCCACCAGGCACTTTCCCCAGTCCCGACGCACGGTTCAGCCATGTGCACCTGGATGTCGTAGGCCCCTTGCCTCCATCCAATGGTTTCACCTACCTCCTTACCTGTGTCGATCGATATACTCGCTGGGCTGAAGCTATTCCTTTGCCGAATGTTCAGGCTGAAACCATCGTGAAGGCCTTCCTCAGTCGTTGGGTCGCCATGTTCGGTGCCCCATCCACGGTTACGACTGATCGTGGTGCCCAGTTTGAGTCGGCACTCTTCCAAACGTTACTCAATTTCCTTGGCTGCACACGCATTCGGACGACAGCCTACCACCCCGCTGCCAACGGTATGGTGGAACGTTTCCATCGCCAGCTAAAGACCGCCCTGTGTGCCGTAGAAGACCCAGGAAACTGGTCGGACAACCTTCCTCTTGCACTCCTCGGCATCCGCGCAGCTCTGAAGTCGGATCTGGGCTGTAGCGCAGCTGAATTGGTTTTCGGCACTACCCTCCGACTGCCAGGCGAGATGATCACCCCAACCTCTCGTGGAGCCGACGAGACTCCTGACAATCTTGTGCACCGTTTGCGGCAATTTATGCGCTCGCTTTCCCCGGTTCCACCTCGAGCTCCAATGACTGAGTCTTATGTCGAAAAAAACTTGGACAAATGTACTCATGTGTTCGTCCGGTGTGACCGTGTGCGCCAGCCGCTGGAATCACCATATGAAGGACCGTTCCGCGTGCTCGCGCGCAACACCAAGACCTTCTGGATTCTTCGCAGTGACAAGGAGGACGTGGTCAGTGTCGATCGGGTCAAGGCTGCTGTTGCGGAGGAGCCGCCGGACCTGTCACAAGGACAAACAATTGCTGACCCCCTAACCCCTGTTCCTCCATCTTCCCTATCCCCTACTCGTTCACCCTGCCCACTGCCTTGCCCTTCCCCTCCTTTGCCCTCTACCCCTCCGTCCCGCATACTTCCTCTCCCTACATGTCAACAGCATCCAACTGCAACACCATCGTCCACCACAGCACGCAGTCAACCCTCTTCGACTGTACCTCCTGCATACATAACTCGCAGTGGCCGTCACGTTCATTTTCCCGATCGTTTGGTTACCCATTTTTTCTAGCCTTGTGCATATCCTCCGGCGCCGTATCCCGTCGCCCTCCGGTCTTGAAGGGGGGTACTGTGGTGAGGTACCTGACTAATTTACCTTTGACAATTTAGTCCCATTTCCTTTGACCGCATTGCTTGTTTGAATGTGACGAGAAACGACACACCTGTACAACCCGCCTTGCTAGCGTGCTCTGCTGTGGTATTCTGTTGTCAGTTTTTCTTAACGTTCAAAAATCTCTATATTATTCACTGCTCCGATTTACTTGCTGCATTTAAGGCTAGGGGCTCGTGAGATATAACTCGTTAGTTCGTGAGAACATTACGATTTACGACATCTCTATAAGCAGAAGGGTAACCGTCAACCACGCGACAACCACCTAAGCATCTTTTTACTGAACATCGCCGGGGAGATCTTCGCCCTACCTCCCCTCAACCTCCTGAACAACCATCTGGAGCAGGTATACTTCCGGAAAGCCAGTGCGACTTCCGCCGTCATCGTGGGTCTAGGGACATAATCTTCGCCGTCCGCCAACTTCAGGAGACGTACCAGGAGATGCGGACCCACCTCAATTCTACGTTCGTGAATCTTGCAAAGCCCTAGACACGGTGAATCGTGAAGACTGTGGAAAATCATTCAGAAATTCAGCCTTCTCGAGCAATCCCCCAGATGGTACGTTAGCTCCACGATGGCATGATGGCGTGAGTCACGGACAATGGAGCTGTCTCAGAGGCATTCGCGGTGATCAGCAGAGTGAATCAGGGCTGAGTCCTCGCGCCTACCCTCTTCATTCTCATGTTCTCTGCCATGCTGATGGATCCTACCGTGACGAACGCCCTGGAATTCGCATCGCCTACAAGACGGACGGTCACCTCCTCAATCAGCGGATGATTCATTTCCAGTCGCGTGTATCCACAACCACCTTCCATGAACTTTTCTCGTCGACGACTGCGTCCTCAACGCCACTTTGGAAGGGGACATGCAAACGGGCATGGACCTCTGCGCCGCCCTCTGCGACAACTAAGGCCTGATCATCAACGCGTAGAAAACAGGGGTCATGTGTCAACTGCCACCCGATGTTGCCTGCGTCGTACCCCAAATCAACGTGAACGCGCCCAACTGCAAGTCGTGGGCAAATTCACCTACCTGGGTAGCATCCTCTCGCGCACCACCAAAATTGACGATGAAGTGGCCCGCCTGATTTCCAAAGCCAGCCACGCCTTCGGCCGTCCGCAAAACACACTCTGGAATCGCCACGCTCTCCACCTCAAACAGAAGATGTACAAGGCCGTCATCCTGTCGACGTTGCTGCGTGGAGAGGAGACCCGGGTGGTGCACAAGAGGCAGGTGCAATGACTCAATCATTTCCACCTCAGCTGTCTTCGATGGCTACTGCAGTTGAGACGACAGGACCGGGTCCCGGTAACGGACGTACTGGAGCGACCGGGAACCCTCAGCATATACGCCATGTTGAGACAGTAGCAAATGCGTTGGAGCGACCGTCTCGTACGGATGGTCGACGACCGGCCACCCAAACGACTCTTCTACGGGCTCTCGCTGACAAGGAAGTCAAGTCCGTTGCTACAAGAACACTCTGAAGACTTCCCTGAAACGTCTGCAGATCAACCCAGCCAAATGGGAAAACCTCACCCGAGATCGACCGACCTGGAGGAGGAGGACGGTGAAGACAGGCGGAACGATCAGCGAAACCAACCGCATCACCGCCTCTAAAGCCAAACGTGAGCTTCTCAAATCTCAACTGCATTCACCTCGCAACGCCAGCGCTCAGCTACCCCTCCCCCCTCCAGCCTGCCCACGCCACCAGCGGGCCTCCCGGGCACCAATCGGCATTGTAGGACATCTTCGCACCGACTGCGGCACCCGCACTACACCAGCTGCTCTCTCCTCGCAAAACTCTGCCTCATCCTCCGCGCCGTAACTAACATTGACCGCACTACCGAACCCGCACTACCATTCTTCTTCTTCTTCTTCTTCTTCTTCTTCTTCTTCTCCTCTATTGCCTCAACATCCGCTACGGCGGCTCCTGTACCCACCACCAATGCACACAATCATGACACACCCGCAAATATCACCCCCCCCCAGCAACAAATCCAGTGGTTTGGACCCGATCCATGTCTATCCTAATTCCGATCCCACCTTCACCTCCCACATCGGCTTGGCTGGTCACTTTCGAATAAATCGCACAGAGACTGGCAAACCGGTGCCTGGAGCACCAACCTACACCCGCTGCATGAACCTCCACTGTTCACAATTCTCCGCACATTTACCCACCGAATGGGTCTGTTCGGTCACATGCGTATCCACAAGAACGAAATTTACCGCAGTCTCGACGCACATAGCCCCTCCTTCACATCCAACATGCCTAGATCAACCCACATCTCGCCGCCCAGCACTCTCACCACCATCAGCTCCACCACAGTCAGCACCTCGTCACACTTGCCATGCCTAACCCAACCCACACCCCACTGCCCAGGCGTCCACCATCAATAGCTCTACCACTGTCACCATCTCCGAAACCGACACTTGTACCGCCGACTTTTCTTGTCCGCACTGTCCCCGCACATTCACCTTACACGTCGGATTGGTCGGTCACTTGCGAACCCATCAAACAGAAACTAGCGAACCAGTTCCTGGAGTCCTCACATGTACTCGTCGCATCCGCCTCAACTGCCCTCACTGTACATCCATCAACCGCATGGGCATATAAGCCATATGCGCATTCAGAAAAACTTGCGGCAGACAACCACTGGCTAAACCACACCATCACATCTTCCCCACCTACATCACACCACATCATCACCCTCCACAAGCATCCAACTGCCACCTACCACGCAAGTGGGAATTGTACGTCTCGCCTTCGTCTCCATGCAGCTCCTCTGCTGTATGTGTGATCCGAGTTCTCTGATGGTCCTGGTGCGTTCAGCACCGTGGCTTGTTTGGCTGCTGACTGACCCTCCAACTCAGTCCACGCAGTCTGCCCAGCTGTGTGAGTTTTTGTGTGGAGTGGCGGATTGGTGTGCTGAGAGCCAGGTGGAAACTGCTCTTTTTTAACGTGACCTACGGCACTCCCATGCATGTGACATGTACACCGCTCAACCCCCGTTGTGTGAAGTCCCGGCGCTTATGTTTGCGATCAGGTCGTGCATGTGGCGCGCGCAGACAAGGTTACTAGATGTCAGTCTCCGTGTCCCTTCTCCGCACTAGTCAACTGACCGGATAGGACAGTGACTGGGGCCTGGGAATGGGAAGGGGAGTGAGGTCGACGACTCAGCGCATTTTCCTCCTCACTATAAACAATCTGACGCGCTTGAAGCTATCACGGTGCGCTAAAAGCCGTGGCTTGAAAGGTTGCCAACTGACGGGATAACTTGGACCTCGTAGTCGGCCCAGTGTTGTTTGTGCTGCAGTTATGGAGTGACCGGCTGCTGGTCTGAGAGTCAGGCTGCAATGAATCCTTCTTAATGTAGACTTTATGGCACTCGCACTGAGTGGGATCCGAGTCGGGAGTTTGCGGCACGCCTAGGTACGGCTTCGGCCGTGTCAGCCTCCATTCTCTTTGTTGTTGGTCATAAACCTAGTTATTTGTTGTATGGACTAGGGGGTGGTAAGGAGTGGAACGCCAAGGTGCGGGCTCGATCGTGCCATCCATCTACGACCTCCCTCATCTCCGGTCTTCTTAACTCTGTCTTAACACGGGACTCAGACAGGGGAGGAGGAGAGAGTGGTGGATGCAGCGCAAGTCTGCTGGCACTATAAACCCCACGCAAGTCACCGTCCCCGCCCCACTCTGCTGTTTAGCATACAGTGGACATCGTCGGATGAGACGGTCGAACTGTCGTGTGTGTGAAGACCAGCCGGCTGAATTCCGAATGACATGCTCCTATACAGTCGGCCATGCTGACACAGTTGACCGTGACTCCCAAGACGCTCTGGCACATCGACTGCTTTTGGATTTTACAGACTAATGGGTTGTCACCGTGGACCGTCTGTGCTCCATATTATCAGCCTTAGCACTATACATACATGGCAGACAAGCCTCGGCGTCATTAAGGGATTGCCGGTCGCAGCCTCAGTCTGTTTGGGCGAGCCAGCGAAGTTGCCATCATTTGACACGGCGAGGAAGCCTTGAGTCATCACCGGCCTAACTTCCTACTTACACGTCAGTTTAAAATGGGCTTGAGGGATATATATAATAAACGTACATGACTTAGCTGCATTGACGCCTTCTATTCTCATATGAATGCCCTTAGATCGTTAAAGACACATCCTACCAGCTTTTACTGCACGTTCGTTGCAGTTTATGCAACCCTTCCATTAATCGTTTAATGCGGTATGTTCCTCTGCCTATATCAGTTAAAATAGCGGCTTATTTTTACTAAGGCTCAGTAACACGGTGCCAGAAACATTCCAGAATCAGCAGTGTACATTTAGTGGTCTGACTCCTTTTCCGCGACCTCTCTAGAAGCATACCGTCATATACCAGTCTTCAACTCATCGTCGACTCCCGTATGTCAGCGGTTCTCGAACGAAAGCCTTGGACATAGCCCGGTGTATTTCCCAGTACAACACTGGGGATCTTCAGTTTGGGTTGTCGTAGATAATTTTAATGTTCAAAATGACGGGGTGTCTCTAGAATGCTACTACTTTGCTGATGACAAGAATGAGTCAGTGGAGGTAGACTTGCAGGCCCTAAAATTCACGAATTTGAGATGTGTCTTTCAACGAAATATCTCCGGCTCCCTCCAGAACTAGGGTTAGACTGCAATGGTTCATTTCTGCTGTAGTTTTTATAGAGCCTCCCATCTCTCCGAGATCCTTTAAATCGAATCTCTGTAACGGTGAGAGGCATAAATCTTGGGAGGAATGAACTACTTCGCAGAGGTGGATAATCGAAACTCCAGCTTATCTTTGATCGGTCCTGAAGTGTTTTCCGCCGGCTCACTCAGACCGAACTCCTCGCAGGCTTCTATCTCATGGGGGGAGGGAGAGGCGGCTAGGAATGGATGTCCAAAAAAGACATAGGACTACATAACTTGCAATGGTGAGCCAGTAGGAGAGCAAATCACCGTTTTTCACGCCAAACTATCACCCAACCTCACTAATGCCCCCATCACCTTTTCCATTTAAATCGCTTTGAACTTACAAACGTCTGCTGACAGACACTTTCCATATAGCCATACGGGGCTAGGTTAGTCAGGTGAAGATTGGTTATTGAATCTGTGCTCGTTTGGCTCATCTGTTCGTGTACCTCAGGCTGCAAAAACCCATGTCAGAAATCCGGCAGATCACGTGTGTACACGTTGACCTAAAGCCCTCCTACTGCGTCAATCGTAACATCTCATACAGTTGTAAGGTCGGAGCCCACGCGCGGCACACATTAAATGGCGGATTTACGTCACATCAGCCAGTGCGCTCAGTCTCATTCCCGGGAGGCTTGACTCGACCAAGACACTAAAACGTGGAAGAAGGAGGCGAAAGTGAGATAGGTGCAGCCCGGATCTAGCGTTGAATCCGCCACTGAAACAACCAAACATGGCCCTCGAGTCAATCGCGACAGGCTAGCAGTTACGGCGTTGGAAGTTTGACAGGTGATAGGGCAAATCGGTTCTACTAAGAACTGAGACTCAGTATTTAATGAATC